TTCCAAATGTTGTTACTATCAGAAGTACCAATATTGGGTGCAGACAGAAGTGCCAATTTTTGCCTGATCTGGCCACAGAAAGTGGTCTATAGCTGTGACCAAACACAAGTGCACAGCTGCAGACAGCTTCAAAAATGGCTGATTGGGTGAAAATCTGAACCCTCATTGCATGAGGGCTCAGATGAAGACGTTACAAAACAAAGCGTCTTCTGTAACTTCTGTCTGTGCTGCCTGCCAGCCTGTTGCTGTTTTCAGAATGGGAGGTGGGAAAGGGAACGGAGGGAGTTCGGTCTGGGGTTTCTTCATCTCCTGCTGGAGGGTGGGACAGGTGTGTTGGAGCCCTCCCCTCCCAGGTGGGGGGGGCTCAAATCCCCCACTGCACCCTCCAGCACCGACTCAGGAACCCCTAGAATGAGCTCCCTCTGCTCCCCTTTCCCCCTCCCATTCTGAAACAGGGACAGGCTGGGAGAGAGGATGGGGCATTGCTAGGGGAAACTGGCTGCAGGCTCCAAGCCAGAAGCTAAGATTCCCCTCCCCGCTGGAACCAACATTGAACTTCTGTTTGGTCTAGGGGATCTCTTTACTGCTGCCACTACTGGAATTAAAAAGAGTTAGAAACTGTGGGAAAATTTACAATCAAAATAGTGACCTGAAAAAGAACAAATTGCAGTCTCAAGCTTGTCTAAATCCATCCCAAACATACAGCTGCTCCAATAAAAATATCACCCACAAAAGTCCTTGCCTTTTGAGTATTTCCTGGACCACCACAACTATAACATCACTCTAACACTACCAAAAGCAAAATAGTTTATTTTACATAAAACCTAACTCTACCTTGAAGCATTTTGTGTAATCTCATGACAAACACTATCTGTCTTTCTAGTCAATCAAAATCTACCTCTCCTTGTAATTATAAAATTCATAGCATAGGGCTAAAGGAATATTTAATATGGAGAAAATTATCATTCTGACTGACAATGACTGAAGAAAATGGAGGGTTTATTCTTAGTCCTTCTATTCCCACAGTATGCAAATTACCTGCTTGGTAAAGTAAAATGGCTCTGACTCACTTGAAAATAACCATTCTAATGCATAAGAAATTAATTTAATATAATAGGGAAAAACTTTGTTTACTTCAAATTAAACTATGTTTGATATCACATTGCAGGAAGTGAAATTACCTGCAATATTTAACAGAAATATTCATAAGAACAACATCCTCAAACAGATTGTTTTTAAAATGCTTTGCTTACCTGAACAGAATTAATGGTACAGATCTCAGAAAGAGAAATATATGCAAAGATTCCAAATAAAGAATGGCTTCAGAAGTCCTGATGGTATAGTAAATGTAGACATTGGTTCACAATTTTTCTACTGGTCCTTAGGCATACTTGTTAAGTATTTTTATTAGTACAGTTGGCAAGTATACCCAAAGTGCACACAGTTTGTGACTTTGAAAGCTTCTAGAAATTTCATATAATGGAGAAAAATAAAAGCATCAGATAAATAAGTAAAACCCTATGCAATACAGTTCCACCTAGCCATGCCTCAGGGCCGTTACACAGTAATTTTAGGTGGCTTCTGGAGCTCTTAATTTCCTCCTGAGTCAAGGCAAGTGGGGATGCTGGGGCACACCAGGGCTGGGCACAGTGTCTTGCCCTCTGGGCATGTTGGGCAGAGCAAGCACTGCAGCCCTGGAGTGCCCAGAAGCCACATAGTGCCTTCTGCCACCTCTCAGACTGGCTTTGCTCCTACCAGGTAGAACAAGCCAGTCTGAGTGGTGGTGGAGGGGCAGTGCCTTCTACCACCATTACTTGGACTAGCTTGCTTCTCCTGCCAAGCACAGAGAGCAGCACAGCCCTGGAGCCCAGCAGCCATGATGCAACGCTTCCTGCTGCCACTTGGACTAGCTCTGGTCCCACCAGGCAAAGTGAGCTGTCCAACTGCTGGCAGGAGGCACTGCACCATGGTCTCTGGGCACTCTGGGGCTGTGGCGCTTGCTGTGCTTGGCAGAAGCAGCGAGCCAGTCCTGCCCCTAGCTCCTAGTGCTAACCCTGCTCACCATGCCTCTAGTGGCAAGTCACAGCTTGCAGGTGAAGGACAGCCAGAGATCATTTTTTGCCTTAGATTTCATAGACATTAGGGCTGGAAGAGACCTTGAAAGATCATCGAGTCCAACCCCCTGCCCCAGGGGCAGGAAGTCAGCAGGGATCATAGGATCCCTGCAAGATAAATATCCAAATGTCTCTTGAAGGCATTCAAAGTAGATGCTTGAAGCACCTCCAGCAGCAGTCTATTCCAAACCTTGGGGGCTCAGACAGTAAAGAAGTTCTTCCTTATGTCCAGCCTGAAACGGTCATGGAGGAGTTTGTGACCATTCAACCTTGTCATCCCTTGGGGTGCTCTGGTGAACAGATGTTCCCCCAGATACTGGTGGTCACCCCTGATAAACTTATAAGTGGCCATCAGATCACCCCTGAGCCTGCGCTTTTCCAGGCTGAAGAGTCCCATGGCTCTCAGCCTCTCATCATAAGGTCTGTTTTCCTGACCTCTGATCATGCACATGGCTCTCCTCTGGACTCTGTCAAGCTTCTCCACATCCTTTTTGAATTGTGGAGCCCAAAACTGGACGCAGTACTCCAGCTGCGGCCTCACCAACGCCGAATACAACGGGAGAATGACGTCCTGGGATTTGCTTGAGAAGCATCTATGGATGAAAGCCAGTGTTTTGCTCACTTTACTAGCTGCAGCATCACATTGAAGGCTCATGTTCATCTTGTGGTCAATCATGACCCCCAAGTCCCTTTCATCCTTAGTGCTAGCCAGTGTAGCACTGCTGAGCCTATAAGGATGCTGCAGGTTTTTCTTCCCAAGGTGGAGAACCTTGCATTTCTCAGTGTTAAACACCATCGGGTTGTCATCCGCCCATCTGCTGAGCCTGTCCAAGTCAGCCTGGATCACCCTCCTGTCCTCAGGTGTGGATGCTTTACCACAGAGTTTGGTGTCATCAGTGAACTTGGCCAGTCTGCTTCTGATACCAATGTTCACATCATTAATGAAGATGTTGAATAGTGTAGACCCTAGGACAGAGCCTTGAGGGATCCAACTGGTCACAGCGCACCATGAGGATTGACTTCCATCAACCACCACTCTCTGGGTCCTACTGCCGAGCCAATTCCCCAGCCAGCGGATTGTGGTGAAGCCAAGGCCGCAGTTGGCCAGTTTTGCTAAGAGGTGATCATGGGATACCAGATCGAAGGCTTTTTTAAAGTCAAGATATATGACATCAATCTCTTCTCCCTTGTCCAGGTGATAAGTCACCTGGTTATAAAAGGAAATAAGATTGGTCAAGCAAGACCTAGCCACAACAAACCCGTGCTGGCTATTCCTCAGGATGTTGCCGTCGGCCAGTCTGTTAAGAATGGCCTCTTTGATAATCTTTTCTGAGACCTTCCCTGGGACAGAGGTCAGGCTGATGGGCCTGTAGTTTGCCGGATCCACTTTCCTCCCTTTCTTGAAGATAGGCACCACATTGGCCTTCTTCCAATCTTCGAGGACTTCACCAGAGTGCCAGGAGTTATCAAAGACCCGTGCCAGGCACTGAGCTATGATGTTTACCAGCTCCTTGAATACCCTGGGGTGTAAACTGTCAGGGCCAACTGACTTGAAGGTATCCAGCCTGTCACGAGGTGTTCCTTCACGAGGTCACCATTGATAGAGGGTAAGGAATCTCCCTCACCCGGGCCTCCCTGTCCCCTAATGGGCAGGGGCGTCCCGTGGGACTATTGAAAGACCGACGCAAAGCACTGTAATTACAACGCGGCAGAACAGCCTCCCCACACATCTACAGGCACCCTGTGTGTCTTCAACAACCCTCAGCTTGCCTTAGTGTTTCACATTTAGGCAACATCTTAGTCTTGCAGGGGTTTTTTGCTAAACATTTCTAAGTCATGGCCTTTTCTTTCCATCCATACACCTAAAACTCTTGTTCAGGCTGTTATTCTCACCTCAGTTGCTGTGACAACCTTTTCTCTAGCCTTGACAAATACCATCTTGATCCACTCATAACCAGCTAGAATACAAAGCTCATTTTCCTAGCTTGTCATCACTCTCCTTGTATTCTCCAACCAGCTTCCTCCTCTCCCTTGCCTCACGCAAAAGCTGTTTGTTGCACTTTCAAGGCCTTTATAATTTATACCCACCCTACCTATCATCTCTCATTTAGGTCAAGACCGTACCTTCTACCCCTGACAGAATAATGATGCCTTGTATTTCACCATCTGCTTTTGCCTGTTCCTTGTCTTATATTTAGACTATAAGTTCTTTGCGGCAGAGTTTTTGGTCTGTTTGTATAGCACCTAGCATAATGAGCTTCTAGATCATGACTAGGCCTCTTCAGCATTATGGCAATACAAATAAATAAATGAACTTATGTCCAAGCTTAATTGATTTACTACAATTTCATAATTTTTTTAATATGAACTTTAAACCAAAGTTGCATGTGAATACACACAGAAAACACAGGTAAGAAATATAGAAAACATAGCACTACAGAGCAGTAATTACTGTGTTGGGATATACCCAAAATGGTGTCTAACACTGTCCTTCCAGGTCAAGTGAAAAATTGCAAGCCATCGCTCATGATTCTTCTATCCAGCTAAGCTTAGAATTACACAGTACAAGTAACATCCTCCAGGAATGCTCAGCATACACAAAATAATGTGTTAGCTTCAATTTCTTTCAGGCCAGGAAGATATATATGGCAATTCTACCTCAGAGTTTCTTTGAAAAAAATATCTAAGAGATAATAAAGAGACACTGAACATAACTGAAGTTGCACTGTATTTGCTATATAGTCCATGAAGATTAAAAATCCAATCATCAGTATACCCTGGAAAAAGAACTTTTGCTTCAAAAGGAGAATATTTATGAAATGGGATTTGTCCTTTTGAGATACAGCTAGTTCTTTCTAAATCCCATAAAACAAAGTGGTTTTTCACCATTTTGGTTGCTCCATATCCTGTTAATTGATGTGTGTCATTCAGAGGGGGAAGAAGACAACACGCTCTCCACTGAACTTGTCCATTTCTTAAGCCAACTTGTCTCTAAGAAGCAAACACATTTAAATTGCTGATATAAACTTCCATTGCTCAATCAATTGATGTTAGTACTTGTTCAATGCGGGCTGGGTAAAAAGAATGGAAAGTTATGATAAAGGGAAAAGATGAAATCACTTCTGTACATCTCGTGTCAAATGTATTTCCATACTGCTTACATAAGATTAGACATTCTTTACTTAGAAGGCACACATGTACCATTTCAACTGTATTGTAGATGTTTGAAATGGTATGTGTGACAGGCAGCAGTAGCAGTGCATCACTGGAGTCTGCTCTAAGCTGATGGACACCACCTTCTATTAAGTTAGATGCCATGAGTACCAGAAGTCTTCTGGGAGATGTAAAGAATATGAGAGAGACATTGCACTGAAAAACTGTAATGCACTGAAAAATTCTAATGATGAGAAAGGTAGTCAAAGGTTAGGGCACTGATTTTCCCCTTGGGAAACCTCAGTTTAATTCAGTGCTCCATCCCACATTTCCTATGTGGCCTCAAGCAAGTGACGAGGCATCTCTGAACCTGAATTTCCATCAACAAATGGAGATAAAAGCAATTCCCTGCCTTGCACAGACATTGTGACGATTAAGAATGTGAGGGCCTGAAATACCCTAGTACGGTGACAATACAAAAGTCAAAGACAGATCGGCATTCTTTTACTCCCAAAAATTTATTTCACACAATTTAACTACATTCTGTTCTTTCTTTTACCTACAATTTTACATAGCATGTTTATAAGTTAAAATGGCACCCTTGGATTCATTCTGGGCAATTTAAGATTTCCCACAGAACAGATTTCAGTATAATAGTAGAGGAGACAAGAAACAGAGAATGAACCAGGGTAGGGAACAAAGAGACACAGCAAGTTCATAGGAGAGGTAGACATAAATGACAGGAGGACCAAGGGAGTCAGAGAAAACAACTCAAGGCCCTGCAAGGGAATACTGAATGCCCCCCCCCCCCCAATTTCTTCTCTCTGTTCATTTTCCGGAACGTCTAGATTTTTTTGTGCCAGAGCACATACACCTCCAATTCTATTAACCTTCCAGAAGATAAAATCCTTTCAGTGCTGAAATTCAGGCAGCAATACCTTATCTTCCCTGAATGTCTGTGGAAACTGGTCAGTGTAAGGGCTCAGACACCTCCTGCCTAATTTATTCCCTGTAAATATAACCTTTTCAGTGCTGGATCCCAAGCTAGACCACTGACCCTTCCCTTCAATTATACATGTGGTAGGATCTAGTCAAAACAATCAATTGAATTAGGTAGACAGAATTTGTGAAAAGTGTGTGTGTGTGTGTGTGTGTGTGTGTGTGTGTGTAATTTTCTGTAACAGACTCCTACAATTATATCCACTTCCCCATATTTTAACTGCATGCTGGCAGCTGCATTATGTTTCTAACAAGACATACACTGAGACTTGCTAGCATAGCATCGTGTTCCTGTTGTCTAAATTTTGGCTTAGGAATGAGGTGCCAGTTTAATAAAGGCAAAGTGTTAGTACATGCATGTTGTTGATGTGCAAAGTCAGCAACTGACAAAGGGACGGTTCAGGTCCCACTGCACATGAGACATACAACTTTATCTCCTGACTTTCAGAATCTGTCCAACTGTCTGATCTGTAATAGATTTTTGTGTGAGGATAATAGTTATTAGCTACTATAAAGGGGTGTTGAGAAGATAACTATTAAAGACTGAGAAATTCATATATTTTGGTGATAGGCCCATATGCTGATTAAACATTATGTGAAAATGATTACAGCTTCAAACAATGCATCTCAGACATGTAAGTCCATTCGTCACAGAGGAAATGTTCATCCTCCTTTTCAGTGCTAGTGTTTCAGTACCTATCATATGTGGCAAATATGATCATTCTCAACTCCTCTTCCCTGCCTCAGTACTGTGTGCTTGGCAAAAACTCCTAGGATGCATGCAGAACTTCCTCATAGCCTACCTCCTCAATGTACTTTCCCAGTTCCTATACTTTTAGCACTGCTTTCACATACACCAAGTTTTCCCTCCCAGTGGTCTGATTCCCCCTCCTATCACATACACATGTATATATGTAAATATTCCTAGCTCTGCACCAAAAAAGCTATAAGAATCTTAAAATGTAATGTCAGCCTCACATTATTTAAGGCATGCCTGGGTTTTAAGCACATTCAGGTCTGCTGTTTAGGAAGCATGATTACATTATCCTGCCTTTCATCTTTCCTTCAGTTAATCAATGCTATCATTCTGATATAATAATCCACCAGATGGAAAAGTAGCAACATGCCCAGCAATCATTTTCACACTTCTGTCAATATCTATAATTTATTATCTTTGAGTAAATAAACTTCTCCCTAAATTTGCTGTTCAAATTACCAGGGCATAAGAGAGTGAGAGGACATAAGACACTGATGTTCTCAGATTCTTCCAGGGTTCAAATCCTCAGTGTAAGAGCATGATTCAGTGACTCTGAAGGTGCCAACTACTATAACAAGAAGCTGTCTGGAAACACTCTGGCCTTCATTTTGCTTCAGAGGTGTGTTTCAATCCAAACTCTTCTAATAACTTTTTCAATATTGCTTCTTCAAAGTGATAGTAATCGAAACACTGAGCAACAAAAACCAGTTGGGGAACAAGTAAAGCTCGAGGGAGAGTCATAGACAGATATTAAAAAGCTGTTATAATAACCAGTTGTTTTTTTAAATGCTGTTTGATTTGTGGGAGGGCTTATCCAGGGGGCTCCCTGCTCAAATTACCACGAATATGGATCACTAATACCATGCCGCATGCCCATGAGGCACAGAAAACCTCCAGACTGCCCAAGTAAAGTATACATTTTTTTTGTTGCACAAGAAGACTCCACTTTTAAAAGGAGCTTGACAAAAAGTTCAGCTCTAATCAGTGATAATTATCTATATCAGAGCTGGCACTCTGCTATGTTAATTGCCAAAATGAGAAATTTCTGACATTTATAAACAGATGTCTATAAGCTTAAGTATGTGACGTTTTGCCATCACTATCAGGCAGATAGAAGCACAGAGATAGACTTCTGGTTGTTTAAAACCGTAACCTTACAGTTCCCAGCTTTGTAAAAATTTTAGCTCAGAACTGGGGGAATCTCTCTGAACCCTCTTACATTTGAACACTGCTCATGTCCTTCCTCTATCTGAAAGACTTTGCTCCTCCTTTCTGTCTCTAAAACCCTAACTAGGACCTGAAGTCATACTCAGTCTGGAAGGAACTGACTATGGCAGTGTCCATATGAAGGATGTAAGGGCTTGGGAAGTCAGAGTCACTGGTTTAATAGCTGCTTTTTTAGGCTCCTGGACTGCAGAGCCCTATGATCCAAGGAAGGACTTAGTCACGATAAAAGATGTCCATATGTAAGATGTAAATACAATTTTGTATCATGGGCTGAACATATATGTAGGGACCTACCTAAACTGCAGTTTCATGGAAACCACAAAATCTGGGGTTCCTGCAAAAATCTGGGGTTGCCCATGAAATCCACAAAAAAAACCCTTAAAAAAATATTTAGTCTTCCCCTTCAGGGCAGGCTTCATAGCCCACCCAGAAGGGGAACACTCCAGCTGGTAAGGCATCATAAAGGGGGCAGCTGCCACTCCGTACTCCTCCCCCCCTCCCCGGGCCTCTCCGCCAATCAACAATGAGGGGCGGAACTGGACAAAGGGCAGCCAGCAGTCAAGATGGCGGCTTTCCCCTTATCCCTCCTCCTCCCCAAGGCCTCTCTTCCAATCAGCACTAAGGGATGGGGCCGCTGCAAAATGCCCACAAAATGGGCTCCTTGTGCTATGAAAATGACTTTGTCTCCCCGCAAGTCAAGTAGGTCCCTGCATATATGTACATTTGCCTGAGGGTAGGTTTTGTACTCTGTTCTAGATAGGTAAATTGCCCAGGAGAGGTGTTTGAGACTCCACAGCAAGAGCCAAGATGGAGAAGCCATCAAGATGGCAACCTCATGCTGCCCACTTTGATTATCCTTCTACTGCTAGTGCACTCTCCTCTCCCCCTACTCTGGCTGTGGGTACAGCAAGCATACTGACAATTCAGTTACGAAAGGATTAAAACTGTAGGGATTTTTTTTTTTTTTTTTTTGCCTGAGCTAGAAAGGGAGGGGGAGTGAGCTGTGGATTAGGCTCTGCCCCTGCTCTGTCATAACTCTTGAGTGAGCTGTAAATTAGGCTCTGCCCCTGCTCTGTCATAACTCTGAGAAAATGTCTTCTTCTTTATTCTGCCTTCCCTAAAACAAAGTGTGTGCTTTATTTGGGGGTATTTGGTATGCAAGAAAATATAGTAGTTTTGTAAGAGGGAAACAAACAGCTAGTCTTCAACTGAGAGCAGACAGTGTATCCTTTAGTCTGCTCAGAAAGAAAGAAAATTTAGATAGGAAAAATTAGTTTTTAAAAGCTTTTATAAGCTATTAAAATTGTACAGAGAAAGGAAGCTAGATTCAAAATTGCTTAAAAGACCCACTGGTTATCCTGCTAGACAGAAAAGGACTGGTATTCTAGAAACAGTCAAGGAATCAAGAAAAGCACTCATGTTGCAGGTGAGACCAGGAGAGGTAAAAGACAATAGAGGCCAAAACAGACAAAACAGAGAGAGATTGTGGGAATAATAGAACTTCTAGCAAGTGTGGAGGATGCCAGAAAAACATACAGTAACTGGAGAAGTGACTGGACCTCATTCAGAAAAAGCTAGCAAAATAAGCAAGAGTTGGAGTGGAAGCTGCTGCTCATGGACAAGAAACAGCTGGAACTAGAGTCTAACTTGCTGAAAGACAGCACAAGCTCTGGCATATGGAGGCATATTGTCAGGGTGAGCATTTGTATGAGGCCACAGCCCATGTTTTGATTCACTTAAAAACAAACGAACAATCGAAAACAGCACCAGGAATTTTCTTAAGTATTTTCAATTAATTGATGGGCGTTTGTGTGTTTATACTTCCTGGTCTCATAACATATTTTTAAAATAAGCTTTTAACAAGATAAAGCACTTTACAATCATTTTAGTGATTTCATTTGCTCCAGTATCAACATAACATTACATGATATTAAACAGCAAAATGGTGCAGTGTTTGTCACAGATTTTCATAATACCGTAAGCCAAAATCTCTTGCCAATTCAACAGTGGCTCTGAAAGGGTTAACACTGTAGCTCTGTCCCTGAACAGAGAACTCTGCTCCTCCCTCTTGGGCTGGCAGAGAGGAGCACAGCAGCCATTACAGCTGCCATACATGCTCCCAGTCCTCCATTCCAACAGAGAAAATCAGCTTCCCCACTTAAGACATGCACCCCAATTTTGGGGGGCAGATTTTCTGGGGAAAAGTGCATGTTGTATGCAAGTAAATATGATACTGTTCCTTTGGTAACAGGAACATGCCTACTACAGTTTACAAAATACTCAGGAAAAGCAACAATAAATCTTTTATCTTACAAGATCTGAGCTTGTTGGAAAAACTTCTATAGAAGACTCAAATTCGATTAATTTTTTTATTGACACTTAAATCTTGTTCAGTGTAAAAAATATCTTACCGGATCTAGGTTCTTAAAAAGAAGAATGTCCTTGCAAGCCTCTTGCAATCTGTTTCTTTGATCATCTGTTTTGGGGTGAATAACCTGGAGGATATAATGGAAATTTTATGGTATAATTTACCTTTTTCAGTGCAGCAATGTAAAAATGATCATCACAAAATAGCAAGTAACTGAAAGACTGAGCTAAGACTGCTAAGAAATTTTACATTAAAGCATGGTTACATTTGGTAACATCTTCATCAAAAGGCTGGTGAATCTGAAAACATACCTAATGACTATACAGTAACAACGTGAAGAATTACTACATTTATACTTGCACAGCTAGAGTTGTACTAATACATCGGTCCACATCGTATTGGCACCGATAAAAGGAAAATTGACATTATTAGCAATCGGCTTGTTTGGCTGATGTGGCCAGTAAGGTTGCCAATAAATGCTGTGTGCATGGGTGCAGCCGCAGCATGCACACGGCCAGGAATGCAGCTCGACAGCTCGGAGAGCAGCATCTGGCCGGTAAATCTGTTGGAGGGAAGGGGATTGCGGGGGGGGGCAGATAGAGGCCTCCACAAGAGAGTGGGGCTAACAGGCACTGCCTAGGCAAGGCAACGCGTGGGATGGAGCCACAAGGGGCTCATCCAGGGGTGCAGGGGAGGCAGCTCCTGCCGCTGCACACCCCCCCCGTGGGAGGCATGGTGGGGTATGTACCCCCGGATCTGTGCACAGGGCAAGGGTGGGCTGCCCACTGCGCACTCGGGGCTAGAAGTAGTGCTGGGTTCTTCCTGGAAGGAAGGCTGGGCTGGGGCTGTGCTCAGGTTGGGCAGAGGTCATGGTGCTGGGAGGGGTGGGCTACAGCTGCTCCAAAATTTGCCATAGTCACTCCATCAGCCGATATGGCTCGTTAATAATTGGCCATCAGTATTGGCCCAAAAAATCTTTATCAGGGCACCTCTATACACAGACACTATGCCACTAGAATCTCATCTATTTTTTTGCATTCTTTTGGGATACCTTAAATTCAAACATTATGATACAAAACAAAATTCTAATGTTCTCTGGACATGTTTCAAGCATATTAGTTTATAGGTAACACCAAATGTTTGACCATTAAAAATTGTGTTCCATTTCCTACAAGTCTTTTCCAAAGAATTTTCCACATGTTCTGCATCAGATATGGGTTAATTTATATAATTTTTTTCACAGGGTAAATAGGAGGCTTCACAGCATCAGAATGAACTATTGATGTTCTATCTTAGAAAAGAATATTGATCTATCTCAGTTAAAGATATGAACTTGCATTCCTTAAAGTACCTTAAGAGAAGAGACTTTAAGCAAATATTAAACAAGTTCTCATTAAGAGACAATGTATATAGGCATAATTAATCAGAGTATTTTAAAAACTGAGTCCCACATAAACACTATTATGGGGATTAATGTCTTTCAGAACGGCCTTCCATACTATCCAAGGACACTACAATAAGGAAGCATTTGAAAAATAATAGTTAAACTGGTTGGTCTTATAATTACTGTAATTATTCATATTTTTATTATTTCTGAAGTCTGAGAACTCAGAAGTAAGTCTTTCAATAAGTTAAATACCCTGGATTCCATGTCATCCTCCTCTTCATCAGGATTGTAAGCTTCTGCACACACTATAAGAAAACAAAAAAAAGAACAGTCTAAGATGAACGCAACATAATGTTCCAAATGCAATTATAAAAATGAAAGGAAACACACTATGGGCCAAATTCTATTCCACCTTTTAGGTGCATAAGTGGCTTTAGGTACCTAAGTACAATTTTATTCCACCCTGCTTGAATCTCTGAAAATACATTAACATGTCTACTTTTGTAACATGCTGTCATATTAGCTTTAAGTCACAAAAAAGGAATGAGTAGGAGAACCAACCCACCTTTTGTATTAGCAATTTTTTGGGACTCCAGCAGGGTGGAACAAAATTGCGCTCAAGCACTTAAGTCCACCTACACCACTTAGAGGTGAAATAGAATCTGGCCTGATGTGCAATACTGGATTGCAAAGTAATTATATCACTACAACTCTTATTTCTGTCCTAGTAAAGCCACTGTTTCAGGAAGCATCTTGCAGTTAAATATTTGTATTTAAATATACATAGACCAAAATCTCAATGTCTGAAGTACTCCCTGAACAGCTTACCATGTCAATTTTATAAAACTGATGTTTTCCAAAAAAACTTAACAGGTCTGGTACAGCTTCTCCTGGGAAAGACACCCACTGAGTTTACTGGAACTTGGATTAGGTCCAAAGTAAGTAGAAATATGCCCACAAAAGGAAGCTTGAAATCTGTTGAACAAATCCAATACTGTAATGCTATATAAACACAATATTCTTAGCAACTGTTTTATGGTAGCTATAGTATTTCAGTGATGACTGAAGCAGATTTAGGATGCCCTACTTACCTATCAACAAAGCTAACTAGTAAAATAAGCACAGAACTGCACAATGCTGTAAATCTACTAAGGCTGTACACTTAGTCTCACTCTTTGCACCCAATTCCTGATTCTGTGCATGTAAATGAGCACATGTGCAGGTAAGTGTCAACACGCTGTACTGCTCTCCTGCAGTGTAGGATCTAGGAAAACATTCAACCCCATATTGTAGTCTAGCAAGCTCATTTCATCCTCTGAATTCTCTCATGTGAGCAGATCTAATAAAACTAATTTAATTTGATATCATTGATATGATTATCTCAGAATCAACTAATCTCAATAAGATTTTCTGGACATTTTCTGGACCTATTGAAAAAGAAATGGCTGTCATTAGGCTCATCCATGCCAAATAATTATTTCAGTCTCTTTCATGTAGCCTGAAGCAGAATCAACACATTATTTTTTTTTCTTCTTTTGATGTCTTTACCCTCACTTCACTCTTCCCTGCTACATGAGCATTGTGACTCAATCTCATTTGTAAAGTACTCTTAGAAACCTCTTTCATAAGATATTTCTGGATGATGTTCTTTTGTCATTATTTTATATCTTTTTTGATTTGTCTGATCTTTTTGCCAAAAGCAAAGAAAGCATCTTGTCATGCTTTATTTCTTGTATCTTGTAATTTTTGCATATTTTTATCACAGATCTCTTCAGCCCATAATTTCATAGAAGTATAGTAAAACAATGCTAGAAGACATCTCGGTATATCAGATACTCCAACCCCCCCCACATAAAGTAGGACCATTTCTGTTTAGGTCAGCCCAGACAAATGCTTCTCTTATGCCAGTGGCTTTCAACCTGTGATTTGCGACCCCTGGGCATCCTCACACACTGTCTAAGGCATCTGCATAAAATTACTATGATCAATCAAAGTATGTGAATACCCACACTTAGAATTCACAAGGGTCCAGCCCTCCCTTCAAATTTTTTTAGAGGTCTGCAAATTTAAAAAGGTTGAAAACCACTGTCTTATGCTGTACTTAATGTTGTACTTTAAAATGCTGTACTTCAAAGCTTCCAATGATAGGGATCCTACAGCCTCTCTAGGGATTTGATTTTAATACTTAACCACCTTCATACTTAGAAGTTCTTCCTAATATCTAACCTAAATCTTCCTCATTGCAATTCCAGCACATTACTTCTCGCACTGTTCCCTTGCAGGCAAAGACAACCAACCATCTTTAATACATTTTTGAAATCTGAAGACTCTTGTCAAATCTGTATTGACTGTTCTTTATCTTGTTATCCACCACATACTTAGAAATAGATTTTATAAAAAATACTCCAGTAGGTCATCAAGATGACAATGTTAGACTGACCTGTCTGTAATTCCCTGGATCTTCCTTTTTCTCTTTTATAAAATTAGGCATTATATTTGCCTCTTTCCAGTCTTGTGGGATCTTATCTGATCTCCATGAGCTCTCAAAAATAATAAGCAATCACTGAAATTACCTCAGCTGGTTTCTTGAAAGCTCTAAGATGAATCTTATCCAACCCTGATCATTTCAAAACATCCAGGTGGTCTAAGTAATATCTAGCCTTTCTTCCCCTACTCTATGCTGAGAAGATACTCTCTATCATAACAGGAAACTCTGTGTGTGTGTGTGTGTGTGTGTGTGTGTGTGTGTGTGTGTGTGTGTGTGTGTGTGTGTGTGTGTGTGTGTGTGTGTGTGTGTGTGTGGTGTTAAAAAAGATCAGCTATCACATCACACACACACTCTCTCTCTCTCTTAAGGCTTCTCTGTATCTTCCATTATTAGATTCCTTTCCTCTTTCAGTAAATTTCCCTTGCTCTCTCTCATTTCTACTGTATTTATAGGATGCTGTTTTCTCCCTTTTGTTTCCTGCTAGTTGAATCTCAAGTTATATCTTGACCTTTCTGATTTTGTCTCTATGTGCCCATACTGTAGTAATCTTATAGTCATCCCTACCAATATGGCCGTGTTACCAGTCCCTTGTAACAAGTCTGTATCAGACCCCATATTCAGACAGAATATGCTCTTGTGGAAAGGAGAGAGATTAGTTAAATCATTATTTGTGGTCTTGTTTGTTCTTTGAAGAAATAAGACGGAAATAGATCTTTCCACTAATGGGAAACTTTAAATACTGGGTTAATGAAGAAAAATCAATCCGGCTTCTCTCTAACACCTTGGAGCCTGTCCTATACTTCTCAGGTGTATTTACATCATTCGCACAAAAAATGATGCTGTTCTGTTTTATCTCACTGCTTCATTTTATCTTTTCTATCATCATATGTTCTGTTTTCTTTAATTTTGTGTAAACTAACAGAATGGATAATTTTACTGCATGTTTTCAGCAAAAACTTTAAGTTCTAGAAATGGTGTTATTTAATTGTAAATAATTTTGTTTGTTTTACTGTATTATTTTGGCAAATGCTGTAAATAAACTACTTACTTGTACATAATACAAGCTTCACACTTTGGCAACCCCAGGCTCCAGAGTGAGATGCACATCCCATTGTGGCTCCGTGAGCCCAGGGACCCCCAACAACCCCCAGCCTAGCCAGAGGTAAGCGGGGTCCCGTGGTGGGAAGGACTTATCCCAGTTGTGGGAGAGGCAACTGAAAGGAGCCGAGGAGGGTCACCCCCCCACCCCCCCGGCTCCTGCTTGGCCCAGCCCCCCAGGGAGCCATATGACTGGTGCCACCTGGCGTGTAAGGCAGGGGAAGGAGGGAGCACTCACCTGTCCCCTTACTCACCTGTCTCCTTCTCCAGTGGGAGAGGAACCCCTCCAGCCCCCCGAGAGCAGTGCGGCGCTGGTGGAACCTACTGCACATGCACAGAGTTTAAAAGAAGCCGCACTTTGGCACCCAGCTCTGGAACGAGACGCATGGGCAGATACCCATTGTGTCTCCATGAGCCCTGGGACCCCCAAAACCCCCCAACAGGACCCCCAGGACCCCTGATGACCCCCAGTCTAGCCAGAGGTAAGCAGGGGACCGTGGTGGGATGGACTCAACCCAGCTGTGAGGAGGCAGCAGAGAGGAGCTGAGGAGGGTCACCACCCTCCCCACCTCCTACTTCACCTAGCCCCCCAGGGAGACACGTGACCAGAGCCTCGCGAGCAGAACGCGGAACCAGGCATACTTCTAGGCCTGACAAGTGAGTTAGTGCAAGACGGTGTGCAGGAGGGGCATGAGGCCCTAGGCAGGGAGCCTCAAGGGAACGGTTTGTACAGTAGTAGCCAAGGTTCCCCCCTGCAGTTGGATCCCTTCCCTCTGGTACTTCTGAGGCCTCCATCCAGATGGAACCCATGGTTTTGGCCTCCATTCAGATGGAGCCCCAGCTCTCGACTGTGGGGGCTGCCTGGCACAACTCCAGGCACATGGGATCAAGAGCACTGCAACCTCCACTAGTGAGGTTTGCTCTGTATTGGAGTCTCTGGAATCCCAGACAGTGGAGCTCCAGACTGCGGTGCAGAGGCTGTGTGCTATCAGGGATGGCGAACAGGGGATTGACTCCTACTTCCAGGCTTTCACCCCAGGACAGAAAAGCAACCTAGGTCACCTGCCAGGACCAGGGAGGTCAAGAGGCACTCTCATACCATCCAGCCAGGGGGCGGGACAAAGGTTGTCTCCGGCTCCAACGCTCACTGCCCCAGGGTCCCCATCCCCCTGGATCTCTGTAACAGGTATGAATCTCTTGCAGCACCAGTAGAGCCTGCAGAGCTGCCAGCTACTGCAAGTGAGGAAGAAAAATGACCAGGTATCATCCCTAAAATGAAACGCAGAGTGGTCATTGTAGGTGACTCTATCCTGAGGGGGACAGAAGGAGCGATCTCTCTCCCTGACCCCTTAGCCCTGGAGTTCTGCTGCCTCCTGGGAGCTCATATCTGGGATGTAGGTGAGAGGATCCCAAAACTTATCCAGCCCTCTGACCACTACCCTATGCTCCTTATCCATGTGGGCACAAATGACACAACTTGGAGCAATCCCAGCCAGGTCATGAGTGGCTACAGAGCTCTGGAAGTGGGGCTCAGGAGGTTGGGGGTGCAGGTGGTGTTTTTCCTCGATCCTTCTGGGTATGGGTCACGGGCAGAGGAGGGAGAGACGAATCAAGGCAGTAAACAGAAGACTGTTGTGCTGGTGCCACAATGAAGGCTTTGGCTTCTATGACCACAGTCCACTCTTTGGAGAGAGAGGCAGTGTTCTGTTGGGAAGAGAC